GGGACAGGGATGGGGACAGGGATGGGGATGGGGATGGGACAGGGACAGGGATGGGACGGGGATGGGGACAAAGGGACAGGGACAAGATTGGGGACAGGGACAGGGACGGGGACAGGGAATCTTCCTCTGGAATCACATCCACACCGGTGCCGCGGGGAAGCACCGCGGCCATTGGAAAAAGGGGAACGTAGGGCAAAAAGTAGGATTGAAGTGGAGAAAAAAAAGTGAAATTGTAGGGAAAAAAACTGGGCTGTAGGGGAAAAAAAATGGAATTCTAGGAGGGAAAATGGGTTTGTGGGGGAAAGAAGTGGATTTGGAGGGAATAAGGTGGATTTGGAGGGAAAGAAGGCTGTGAAATGTGGATCCCCAGGTGTGCCTGGGGCTGACGGGGATGCCTGTCCCGGTGCTCCGGGATTTTTGCCTCCTGGAAATCTCCGGCAGCCCGAACAAGGCCCCGGTCCCTCCCCTGGGCCGCTCCCGCGCGGCTGCGCCGGGACAAAGCCCCGGAACGTTCCCGGAGCTCCGGGAGCTCCGTTCCCTTTGTGCTGCCAGAGGGAAACCCCTGCAACGGGCGACTCCAGCCCCAGAATCCCCTCCTCTGGAATTCTTTAGGATTTTATTTTTTTTTTTTCCTCCCCCAGGCAAATCCTGTAGGGAGATCCGGAACAGGTGAAAAATGGGCTGGAAAAGGAGGAAAACCGTGAAGAAAGCTCCAAAAAAACCCCAATTTCTGGGAGTTTCCACCCCTGAAATCCCAGGAGAACCCAGGACACCCCAGAAGGAAGAGTCAGGAACGAGGAAAACAGGGAAAAAGAGCAAAAAACAGGGGAAAAAAGGGATGTTTTCCCCAGGATCTGAGTGGGAGGAGCTCCAGGAGGTGTTTCCAGGACTCCGACCCTTGGAATCGCCTGAATCAGCAGATTCGATTCCCACGGAGGAAAATTTGAGGAATTTTCCCCTGTTTCCATCAATTCCGGCTCCAATGGAGGCTATCCTGTTCCTTTTCCACCCATTTTTGGTGATTTAGGGTTTGGATTGGGAGGAATTTGGGCTCTTTCTCTGAAATTACAGGAAAATTTTGGTCCTTTTTCAGCACTTTGGGCTTCAGCCCATCCAGGTTTTTCACTTTCCACCTGTTCTTGGAAATTCAGGCTTCAGCTCAGGAAACATTTGGGATTTTTTTTGCCTCTTGCCACAAATTTACCTCTCACAACCTGGACATTCCGTTCCTTTTCCACCTGGTTTTGGAAATTTCTACCTCAATGTGAAATTTTCTGCCCATTTTCAGCCCCTTGAGCTTCAGGACCTCAACATTTTTACATTTCCCACCGTTTTTCCGTAAAAAATCCTCACTTCCTGCCCATTTCCAGCATTTTGGGCCCCGCCACACAGAAATTTGGGGGGTTTTTAGCCAATTTTCAGGCATTTTGGCACTGTCTGAGCAGCTCTTCCCCACTCCGGTGTCCCCACGAGAAATCCCATCCACATTTTTCCCCAAGCGGGGATTCGGGGATGGAATGAAATTCCTTTTCCCATGGGAATGGCCCGAGGGAGGAGCAGCCTCCAAGATCTCCTGGGGTTCCTCCCATTCCTCCCCTCCTGACCCGTTCCAGCCTTTTTTTGGTGCCCGATTTTAAATCCCCGCCTCCGGATTTGCCCCGGGGTCGTGCCGCGGGCTGGATTTTCCCGAAAAAAGATGGAAATGCCCCATTGTCCTGCGGTCCCGAGCGGCCCAGAGGAAGAAGAGCCCTTTGGGATGAAGGTCCTGGGTTTTTTTGGGGAACGGGGATTTTGGGAGCGGCGCCAGGACCCGTCCGTGGGATCCGGCCCCGCGCTGGCCACGGGAAAAGCTGGAATTGGTTAAAATCGGTTAAATCCGGGAAAGAATTCCCTGCTCCCGCCCCACCTCGGGGATCCAGCGGAGGGTCCGGCGCGGGGGCAGCGCGGCGCTGACAATTCCATGGGGACTGCGGGACCTGCCGGGTCCTCCCTTTTCCCAGGAAAACCCTCGGGACAATCCCAGGAAAAGCCGGACGATGAGGAAGGAAGGAAGAAGTCTCGGCCTCGGCCACACCCCGGTGTCCGCGGTGCCAAAAAATCCAGGGAGAAAACCGAAATCCAGGGAAAGCAGCGGCGGCTGCGTCGGGCGGCTCCTCCCGGGCCGGGATTCCCGGGAAGCGGCGCTGGGAGCGGCCGCGGCTGGGAAAGGGATCGGAGCCCGGCCGGGACACTCCGGAGCGGCGCCTCGGGAATCCGGGGCTCGGAAATCCAGAGGTTCGGGAATCCAGAGGTTCGGGAATCCAGAGGTTCGGGAATCCGGGGCTCGGGAATCCAGAGGTTCGGGAATCCGGGGCTCGGGAATCCAGAGGTTCGGGAATCCGGGGGTTTGGGAATCCGGGGATTCTCCTGCTCGCAGGAAAAAACGCCCGGAAAGCGCCGGGCAGGGATCCAGGGGCTGTTCCGGGGCTGTTCCAGTGGCTATTCCAGGGATCCAGGAACTATTCCAGGGATCCAGGAGCTGTTCCAGGGATCCAGGAGCTATTCCATGGATCCAGGGGCTGTTCCGGGGATCCAGGGGCCGTTCCGGGGATCCAGGGGCTGTTCCAGTGGCTATTCTATGGATCCAGGAGCTGTTCCATGGATCCAGGAGTTATTCCAGGGATCCAGGAGCCGTTCCGGGGATCCAGGAGCCGTTCCAGGGATCCAGGGGCCGTTCCAGGGATCCAGGGGCCGTTCCGGGGATCCAGGGGCTGTTCCAGTGGCTATTCCATGGATCCAGGAGCTGTTCCAGGGATCCAGGGGCCGTTCCAGGGATCCAGGGGCTGTTCCGGGAGCTATTCCATGGATCCAGGAGCTATTCCAGGGATCCAGGAGCCGTTCCAGGGATCCAGGAGCCGTTCCAGGGATCCAGGAGCCGTTCCAGGGATCCAGGGGCCGTTCCAGGGATCCAGGGGCTGTTCCAGGGATCCAGGGGCTATTCCAGGGATCCAGGGGCTGTTCCAGGGATCCAGGGGCCGTTCCAGGGATCCAGGGGCCGTTCCGCGGCCGTTCCGCTGCTCTAAGCCGGGAGCAGGCGGAGCCGGGGAGCTCCAATTAAGCGCTGGTTTAATTAAGCCGGGAAGCGGGGAGGAGGTGGGGGAGGGATCCGCTCCTTTTTCCTGATCCAAGGAAGGAATCGCCGCTTTCCCTTTAAATCCGGGACGCGACAGCGCCGCGGACGCGGCCGGGGGCAGGAGGGGCTGCGCCCGCGCTCCCCGCAGCATCCCGGGAATCCGAGCGGATCCTTCCCCCCTTCCTTCCCTTCCCTTCCCTTCCCTTCCTTCCTTCCCTTCCCTTCCCTTCCCTTCCGTTCCCTTCCCTTCCCTTCCCTTCCCTTCCCTTCCCTCCCCTCCCTTCCTTCCCTTCCC